TGCATATTCACAAGCATGTGCTGACCTCCTTGTGTCTGGGGCCTCCCTGAACGAGGAGCCCGTCCTTCAAGCCCAGCATCTGGGGCAAGAGGTGCTTCCAGCTCCCCTTCTTGTGTGCTCACAGGCCAGTGGGCCTGCCTGGATGCAGGTGGCCAAGAGGCCCCGGAGGAGGAGGGAAGGTTTGATTTATTTAGCTTCTTAGATGGCTTTGGTCCAATTTCGATTTTCGAACTGCACACACAATCTTGAGACAAGACGCCAAGATTTGGTGCATATGTTCATTTTTGATTCTGAAGTTCAAAGAAAATAAAAAGCAAAGTTTGGCTTTGACTAAAGTTTAAATAAAAGTTGAAATTGTCTAGTGTTTCCACAATGTCACTAAGAAGACCTAGAATAAGTAGACTGTAACCAAACAAATGACACTTTGAAGAATAAAAATGAAATTGTATAGGGATTAAGATGCCGTTTCTCACAAGGAGCCCAGTTGCTTCCCCACTGGGCTTGTGGTCGGCCAGAGCGTGTGAAGGGCGCTGGGGACAAGCTGGGAACCGTCCATGGGAATCTCTCAGGGCAGGAGAAGTAGCTTCTGTCACCGGGCACTTCTCCATTTCTTCTCAGTCTCTACTTTGTTTTGCGATTCACCCAACTTTTGTGAAGAGTGTTTATAAATCTCAGTAGGTGCGTAATGAATAAAAATCTAATAACTGTTCATTATAACAGTAAATATAAGTGAACGCCCTTCTTTCCAGCTCTGTGATTTTCTTTATTTCCTTTGGTCAGAAACTGTGTTTCTCAGCAGAGTGACACGTCCTCTCCTTGCTGGTGAGGCAGCAGCAGGGCTGGGCGAGTTTTCCAGGGCAGAGTTATTTACAAGGTTGGCCGTGAGAGATGCAGGCGGGCAGCCTGGAGAACACTGGCCTCTTCTGAACCTGGTTAATGATCCACCCGGCAGGCATTCCAGTGGTCACAGTGGGCTTTAGGCAGCTCACACAAGACATTTTCTGAGTTTCCAAATATTCTTCATTCAGATAAGAAGAAACATTAATGTTCTGTGATTTACTCAATCTTTTAAATGAGCTTGCAAGCTAATAATGCAATAAGCTAATGGAATAACTTTTGTATTTTTCATTTTTTCTCTTGCTTATCAAGGGATATCAAACTATCAGTCTTATCAATTACTACTTGGGGTTGAAATTGCAGTTATTTACATATAGACTGTTGTAACTTGGACTAAATTATCGGTGAAACGAGTATAACACATCACAACTTTGTTAATGAGGATTGAGAAGCTGCCGGCTACAACAGCCATCTGTCTACAATCCTGTCCGGCAGCCCTGGCCACGCAGAATGCAGCCCTGAAAACAGGAGCGGGTGCTAAATCGGGAACAGCTATCACAGAACACAGGTGTTTAGGTGAGGAGGCCAGAAAGAGTGCAGGACAGAAAGTAGCAGGTCAGGTAAACGTGAAAAACACAGATGGGTTTGGGAAGGTTATAGGGCACCAACAGTCGGGGCTTCAGCAACTCTGTTTTGAATGTTTGTTGTGGATCACGAGTTTGACGTATTTTATGGTTAAATGTGACAAATTCATAGAAGGTGGTTGCCCCTACATCTATTCCCTAGAAGACAAAACAGCACGGAGAGGCTGAGTAAATTATCCAAACTTACACAGCTAACAAATGTTGGAACCAGATGCTAAAGGCTGGGCTGTGGACTCACCCGGCCGTACTTCCCAGGCGTCCGCTCTGGCTGCTGCAGACGCGCTGAGTGACGTCTACTCCAGGTTTTTAAGGAGCTAGTGCTCTTTTAAGGGGTGGTTTGATGCAAGGATTTGCGTATCAGAAGAATAGGGGGTTTTTAAGTCATGCATGAATTATTTCTTCTTTTTTGGTTTAATACTTAAACACTTGTTACATTCAAGACCAGAGAATCGATTTGGATAGTGTTATTTTGACTGTTTATGCTACTCCTCAGTTAGTTAAAATGCAAGAAGGATGAACCCTAACTGGCTCAGCCACTGTTTAATTTACTTGGCTGTTGCCTGCAGACTGTACACTTTGAAGACTTCCACCTGCACTTTGTTGGCAGAGGCCTGGAGGCCGAGAGGTGCCCACCTCACCCAGTGCGGTGCTGCTGGCACACATTCCAAGGGGCTCACCTCCCACGGCTGGGGGTATCTGGGCCCCAGGAGGTCTGCCCCGTCCCCATGGCGCTGATGACCTCACTGGTGGTTTATGAGTTTAGCTTTGTACTCCCCCCTCACCTCCACAGGGAGGAGCGCGGAGGCCCAAGCTCAGTCTCCCAGAGCTTGATAAGCCTGACCTCGCCTCCTTTGTGTCTCCCATTCCCAGCCTGTCTTTCCCTCAGAGTTGTGCTTGGCCCTTGTTCAAGATCCCAGAAATGCTTTTTCACACCTGTCACTCCATGTGATCAAATACTCAGATGCAGTTGGGACAGCCCAACCCAGCACAGGACTCCATGAAGCAGGGGGGACACTGGTGCACGGGAGGTCTCCCCCAAGTCCCACATGGCTCCCTACATCAGAGGCAAATGCAGGGCAGACCCCTGAGGGTCGGTGTCTTGGAATCCTCCTCAGTGTCTAACTCAGGGTGTGGTGCTGAGTCATCAAGACAGGTGAGAAGAGAGTCAGCACAGGAGTCACAGTGATCAACACTGGAGAGGTGTAAACGGCACCGTGATGTCCTGTAGTCGTCACTGTACTGTAAGATGATGGCCGTGGGTAAGAACATTCTTAAGAACTTCTAAAATTCGTCTGTTCTCCCATGACTCAGCAATGCACTGTTTTGTTTTTAAAGCAGGAATGCACACAGACTTTAAAACTTGAACAATACAGGAAGATGATGTAGAAATCAATCCTCTTCCACTCTTCCTACTGAGTGCTCCCCCCACCCCCCGAAGATAACCAGTATCCACAATTTCTCCTCAGTCCTCCAGGAAAATTCTTTTAGTGTGGATGTACAAAGACAACTCAGATCACACTATTGGCTCTTGTATACCTAAAAAATAATACCTCTTAGAGACACTGATATGAACCTTACAGTTCCTGAACTTGTTCTGATTTTGTCCAAACCCTCCCCTACGTCTCCTTGCCAGTTGACCTTGGCAGCACTGCTTACGCCCCTGCACCTGTTTCCTCACCCACACAGAGGGGTATAAGGAGGCCTCATGGAACTGCAGTCAGATACGTGGTTGTTACGAAAAAAATGTTGGCCACGGTTTCAGGAGGTCACAAAAAAGTTGAATTATGATTATAATCAGTACCTAATTATCTAATTTGCAGTTGTTATATACTTTCCTAATTATATAAATGTTATTTGAAAACATTACCCTGAATTCCTTGGTAAACATTTAAATTCTTTCTTGTTTATATTGTTTTTTGTTCTGTTTTGGTTTGTTGCTATTCTAAGCAATGCTCTGACACATGTTTACCCATATTGAGGGTGTGCTTAGAGGATGTATTTGGGAAAGATTGCAAAAAGGTGGAGAGAGGAGTCACTGGCTCGGGGAGGGGTGGCCTCCCAAGTCCAGCCTCACTGCCCCGTCCCAGAGAGTGAAATTGCTTCTTAGTCCTAAGGTTCCCCACAATCCTATCATCAAGCTCTAAAACCCTCCTCACTCTAACAGGTGGTCTCTCGGATTTGTTACTTTAAGATATTTATTTTTATTTCTTTTTAATTTATTTTTTATTAGATCATAATTGTGTACATTAATTCTATCATAGGATACAGTGTGTTGCTTCCATATGCACTTTGGAAAACTCTCATCCAACTGGCTAACATAGCCATCGTGTCTTTCTCATAATTGTTGTGTTAAGACATTTATATTCAACTTTTAGACAAATTCACATGTACCCTAATAGGATAAATTATAGGCATGATCCCCACAATATCATTCTCTTCACCCATCCTTCCCCCTCCCCTCCCCCCCTCCCCTAACGTTGCTCATGCAGCTGGTCCGTTGTGTGTTAGTGTCATGGTGCAGCTGGTCCGTCGTGTGTTAGTGTCGTGGTGCAGCTGGTCCCTTGTGTGTTAGTGTCATGGTGCAGCTGGTCCCTTGTGTGTTAGTGTCGTGGTGCAGCTGGTCCGTCGTGTGTTAGTGTCATGGTGTAGCTGGTCTGTTGTGTGTTAGTATCATGGTGCAGCTGGTCCCTTGTGTGTTAGTGTCATGGTGCAGCCAGTCCATTGTGTGTTAGTGTCGTGGTGCAGCTGGTCTGTTGTGTGTTAGTGCCATGGTGCAGCTGGTCCGTTGTTAGTGTCATCGTGCAGCTGGTCCGTTGTGTGTTAGTGTCATGTAGCTCATCTGTTTCGTGTTAGTGCCATTTGTAGTGCTTAGGTAGCATCACTTTCTTTTAGTGTCTTATTGGGAAGGAAAGACCTTCCTGATTCTTCTGGATTAAGGTTAAATTATACTTCTCTAGAAAGTATTCCATTTTCTTTAAGTTTTAAAATTCACCGAAACAGAGCTTTCCAAATTACTCTATTAGGATTCTAATTTCATTTCATTTTCTGAGACCCCCACCAATATTCATCCCTAACTCCAAGCACATGTTTCTTCCTGAACCTTCACTCCGTTTAGTTTAAGCAATTGAGCATGTTGGGGTCTCCCTCTCTGTGCCCCAGGATAGGTCCAGAGCAGTTCCCCACCCATATTTCCACCAGGACTCAGCCCCTGCAGTGTATGTGTGTGTGTGTACTTGCGTGTGCATGTGTGTGCATGTGTATGTGTTTGCGTGTGTCTGTTTTGTGTGTCTGTGTGTCTCTGTTTTGTGTGTCTGTTTTGTGTGTTTGTGTGTTTCTGTTTTGTGTGTCTGTGTTTGTGTGTGTGTGTGGAGTCTTTTCCAGTTCCCCACTCAGCTTATATGCCTGAACCCTTTCGTCCTGTCTCCCACTGGAGGAAACCTGGTGCTTGCAGCGGGAGGATGGGCCTCGGCTTCCCCTCAAAACTGTCACTGTTCCTTTCTCGCTCTTCCTTTTTTGCAGTCAGGCATGATAAGAACAGAAGAGGCAGATTACTTCCTCAAGCCGCTCCCTGTGCACCTCCAGGGGAAGCTGCACGGCTCTGCACCGGGCAGCCCTCCCTCCCATGTCCTGTACAAGCGCTCCACCGATGCCCGAGCTCCCCGGGCCGCCCAGCACGTGGTGACCACCAGGACGTTGGCTCCAGCCAGTCAGCCCCTGCACCGTGGCAGCCTCCAGCTCAGGCTCCCACAGAAGCAGCATTTCTGTGGAAGACGCAAGAAATGTATGTAAGGACGATTATTTTTGTGAATTTAATGATTTTGGACATGTCTTTAGGGTATGTGTATCCACAGGGTGATTCACTGCCAATTGGTGTGCCAGACGTAAGTGCCGACCACAGAGGGCCTGTCGCCTGTAGCTCCACTGTCCACCTCTCTCCAGGTGGATGCATAGATACTGGCTGACAGCCTTTGTGTAAGGGCTGTTCTCCGGGCAGATGAAGTGACACGCTGCTCAGCTGTGCAGAATCTCCCAGACATCTTCAAAGAGCCTGGCGTCTCTACTTAGTAATTCTATATTTCTGAGGTTTAGATTTATTGAATTTTGCATAGTTTTCCTGCTGAGGTAATTCACGTATATACATATAATACACCCATGCACATTTATATATTTATACACTTGGCCACATCTAAAGGGCAGACGCAGGGCCCTACTTTGCCCACACTTTATCCCAGGGCTTTATCAGGGTATTCTGTTCTTGTGGCCACTTAGAGGGCGATTTATGTTCACATTTCCTGTGGAAGCCTCTCAGTGCAAGAATCCAAGTTCAGCATTTGTGGCATTTTCATCTTGTCCCTGGGAGCAGTGTGCCCCTTCACTCTTATCTGAAGATGTCCGAGTTGCTCAGGCCAGGAGCATGACCAAGGCACATCTCGGTGAGCAGGGCAGTGGTGATCACCCTCAGTCTGCTGTACACACGTGTGTGTGTGTGTGTGTGTGCGCGCATAGGTGTATGTGGGGGGGGTGTGCATAGATGTGTGTGTGTGTGTGCACCATATGTAGCCTGGAGAGGCATTTCAGAGTCTTAGTGTGTGCAGTAAATTTTATTCTCAAAAAATAGAGAAAGTCACCATTGTTTCCATAAATGGAAGGAAAGGAAGACTGGGGACAGCGTCTTGCTGGTGGAAGACAGTGCTGACTCGGTCCTACTGTTTGCCTTGCCTGATATTCCTGTCCCATCCCAGCTGTGGGCCTGGTGGTCTGCACTCCTGGGCCCTGAGTGGCTGGGAGGTGGGGGTCACACCCCAGCCAGGCCCACCACAGACCCGTGAACTGTGAGCAGCATGGATACCATCGCTTTTTATTCCCAGGACCCCTCCTTATCTGCCCGTGGATATTTCCATGTTGGGAAGGTGGGGTGGGGAGGGTCCTGGTCCCTCTGTTAGAGTGCCCAGGTCAGGCACCACCTGTGTGTGGAAAGGCCAAACTAAGGCAGCCTGAGCCTCAGGCTGCAGTGAGGCCTGCTGTCCTCCAGCTGCAGGTGTCAGCTGGAGGTGGCTATTTACCTGGGACTCACCCGTCTCAGATGTGATGCCACAAGCCCTATGTTGGGGGCAGCTGTCTGCTCTGAAGGGTGGTGGGGACCCTGGCCTGTTAGATCACCACCCACTTCACTCCCACCTCTGTACCCAGCAACGAGTGTTGCCCCTGACTTTCATCTTGCTCAGGTGTTCCCACCAGCAGGAATTAAGACAGAGCTCTGGGCCATGCTGTCTACACCTGAAACCCATTTCCAGCACTGTCTCAGGAAGCCCTGTGAGCAGTTAGGCTCATCCCTTCTGCCTGCCCGGCCTGATGCTCAGCACGTGCTCTGGGCTGGTGTGGGAGGCATGGGAGTTAGAACAGCTCCCAAGGCGGAGGTCTCACCTAGGCAGATTGCACAGAAGTCAGTGGGGGGTGATGTGTGCTCCTCAAATGTCAGACCTGAGGTCCTGATGTGATTAACATAATCACAGTCCTCTGAAAGGGTCTTCAGGTTTGGAAGTATTTTAGCAAAGAAAGAGAAGATGTGTTGGCTGTGAGCACACATATCCATCAAACAAAAACATCATCTGCTATCCAAGCATCCCTGGATCCAGCTTGTGTGGGGGTCAGATTCCTGCCACCGAAAACATGGGCTTTTCAGAGGCTGCTTTCACATGAAACCATTCTGATCACTAAACCTCATTATAAATGCCAAAACTATTTTAAAGGGATCACTCTAAGAGGACAGAGTATGTTTTGTCTTCTAAGCAAATTAGATAAATATTTAGGGTACTTTCTAGGAAATTAAGCTCTACAGTAAAGTGAAACCAGTTCCAGCAGTTTATAATCCATTTGAAACAGTGTAGACAAACCAGTTGTTTGTCCAGACGTTGAAATGAGCTTTAAAGTAGGTCATGTCCTGAAAAGCTTTCGAATAGGAAACTGCCAGCCGGGGCCCTGTGCTGTACTAACCCCACGGCCCTGTCTCTGTGGACCCTGCTGCACAGGCCCCCGTGCTTCCTGGTCTCTGAACTTCGTGCTTCTAGACCCCAGGACTTCAGAACGACAGGGCGGCCCAGGCATTGTTTTAAATCCATATGCAGTCACATACTTGTAAATACAGCAGTGACTTCCTCCTACACTACACAAACTTCAGCTAAATTTAGTGTCCTCGCTGAGCACAAAGTTTTGCGTCACAAAGTCTTAAGAGTTGTGTGGTTGTTTCAGGAGTGCTCGTTCTGAAGACCAGATTTCTCCCTGACGGCGCGCAGTGCTGGTCCGTGTGACGAGGGTGGCTCTCATTGTCTCTCCATGTGCCCCCTGCAGACATGCCCCAGCCACCCCGTGAAGACCTCTTTGTCCTGCCTGACGAGTACAAGCCTTGCGTCCGGCAGAAGCGCTCTCTCCTGAAGTCCCACAGGACTGAGGAGCTGAACGTGGAGACGCTGGTGGTCGTGGACAACATGATGATGCGGAACCACGGGCAGGAAAACATCACCACCTATGTGCTGACCGTCCTCAACATGGTAGGGCCTCCCTGTGTGGCCACACTGAGACATGTGGTGTGGGGCGGGGTGTGTGCATGCATCACGCTTGTGGTGTGGGGCAGGGTGTGTGCACGCATCACGCTTGTGGTGTGGGGCGGGGTGTGTGCACGCATCACACTTTACTTGTGCATTGACGTCTCATATATGTATAAAAAATGTGAACTAGTTCAGAACTTGAGAGAAGTAAATAGGAGGAAAAATAATTAGGGCCTGTCTGTAAGTCTCCATCGGCCTGTGACAGGTTTGGGGTTTCCTGATGTCATTATTTAGTAAAAATCTCTGAGAAGATGCCAAGACCTCAGAGTGCAGGGCATCCATCAGCAGCCCATGTGTGGTTTCAGAGGGCTGTATGGGAGGGAGCCATCGTCTCGGGAATGTTAATGTTCAAATGTTGAATATAAATTACTTTATGAAAATAGAAAAAGACAGGACAATCCTTTAGAACATCACCTAAACTGTCTCTCTGTGTCAAATCGGCAGCACATTAGTAACTGAATTGTTGCGAGAGGTCCTCCAAGTCTCGTTTCATACCAGTGAAATCTAGACAGCAAAAGACAAAGTCTTGCATCACCAAAGTGTCTCTTTAAAAAAAGTTTTAATGACAATATTTTAAACGTATGTTCCTGTGTCCTTCCCCCTCGGTAGCAGAGTGCCCCTAAGTATGTCTTTGCATGACGTCACCTGATGGTCATCACTGGCAGCGTTGCTGGTGCACTGGGCCTCACAGCTTCTGTCTCCCAGGGGACAGAAGGAAGTGGTGAGATGGAACTGCCCTCTCGCTGCACGGGGCTGAGTGTCGCCTGCTGAGGACAGTGGGGCCCAGGCTCTTGCTCCGGCCCGTGGTCAGCCCATGTTTTCTGCTCATCGCCCTGAGTGCTGCGCCACCACTCTGAGATCCCTCTCATCTCCAGTGCCTGCATCTTTCCTTCACCATCTTCCTACCATGATCTGTTGCTTCTCTTTCCTGTCTCCTCTTGTTCTCATCCCAGGATTTCTCTTGTGCTTGTGGAATTCCCTTCTGGGAGAGCCTGGCAAGTGCCGGGCTTCAGGCTCAACACTTCCCATGTTCTAACACGACACTTACCAAGCCAGAGGCCTTGCTGTCCTTCCATTGGTATTTGATGATAAGAACCCCACCACCCCACCTGCAGCTTTTGTACTGTTAGCTAGCAATGACAAGGGTTCAACAGTTGGTAATTAGATATGTCTAGTCCTGTTTGTCTAAAAATATAAAAAAAAAATTAGTATTGCTTTGTCACTGGAGAACAAGGGCTTGACCATCAGCAGCCGGGCTGCAGGACACTCCCCAGCTGGGGAACTACTGCTGCCCACAGGGCTGGCATGACCCCCTGTCTTTTTCAGGTGTCTGCTTTATTCAAAGATGGAACAATAGGAGGAAACATCAACATTGCGATTGTAGGTCTGATTCTTCTGGAAGATGAACAGGTATTCTGTCTTTGAAATCATCAGTTACTTTTTTTTTTTTTTTTTTTTTTTT